ACTGGAATGAACAAACACAACTAACAAGTAGAATTCGTAAATTAGGGTTAAGAATAAACAAATTAGGCAAGTCTTAGGCGAAGAAATCCAAATGCAATTTTAGATAATTTCAAAGCCATCAGGTTTATTGTGACCAATGGAAGTATGAATCAAGTTCATATTATTGAAGTTAAAAACTCAATTCGGGTCGGGTTAAATTATCATCTTATTAATATTTAAATTAAAATACTTAATTAAAAGAGAGTGTGCTTCAAACACATACTCAAAATCTGGGATTGATGAGAACAGGGCAAAATGGTATATTTACAAAGATATTTAAAAGTTTTGTGGGGTAATAGAACACTTGCTTAGTTAAAGTGTCTTTTTGAAAATTCGAGACAATTTCAAGTGCACTTTATGTCTTTTCTCTAACTTATATATGAGATTTATCTCATGACACTCTATGACAATCTATTTTGTTGTAAAAAATAGAGTCAAATACAATTCAAACCTCAAAATATCAAATAAAATAGAAAAAAATATTTAATTTTTCATGGTCAAACGCTAATAAATGTCATCTTATTAAAATTATTATATTAAAATTTTCAATTTTATTATGAAATTCAATATCAAATATCCACTTCTAACTTTAGAGATCTTCCGAGTAGGGAAAATTTTTATGAATAGGTGTAACATCTCGTAAATCGAAATAGCTAGGATTAAACAAAGAAACAAAGATAGTTATTTTTGGAAAGACTAGGAAAAATCTGGAAAATTTTCCAAAAGACAAGAGTGAGTTTTTGGTCATTTTCAAACGATCATAACCTCTGGATCAGGATGAGTTAGGGTCAGTTCTTTATATGGTTGAATATTCCTTGAAAAGATCTTTCCAACGGTGCCGAGTTTGTGCATTTTCGATATTATATTAGGGAGATATGCCTATCGAAAGTTGGGTTGTTGGACTGAAAAAAGTTCAATCCGAACTTTAGTAAGGGTGAAGTAGTATTTTCACCCTACTATTTCCTAATTTGTTTTAAGGGTTTATTAGGGGTAAAATTAAACCTTAAGTCAGTTTTTTAAAAATTGAATACGCTTAGGGCTTGAAAGAAAAGAGAAGAGAAGAAGGAGAAAGGAGAAAGACCAAGATTTCGAGAAAGTAGAAAGACCAAGATTTTGCCAAGAACGCAAAGATCATTGAGTGAACTTTGTCGGGGTGATCCCTTTAAGGTATGTGAGATATTTCTGTGTTGGGTTCTTCCACCGGCAAAATAATATGTTTAATTCAGTGCAATTAGAGTAAAATGAATGATGAACATTGAAATTCTTGATGAAAAACCGTTGAATTCTTGTTGGTTGAGTTGTAGTAGATTGTTTGATTCATGTTTCCGAGCTGTTTTAGGAGTCTAAACTATTAGGTATCGAGAATTAAGTGATCCTAAGTGTTCAGAGTGAGATCCATGGAAGTTTAGAAGGTTTAGAATTGAAAATCGGAGAAGAAAAGTCAAAAATCTCGTCTGACAAGCCCTGGGGCGCCACGCCTGCCAAAGCCCCTCAGAGAAGGCTCTATCTGAAAGATCCTCGGCCGCCGTGCCATCCAGAGCCTCTCAGGACAGTCTCTTTCCGTCAAGCTTTGACGCCCCACGCCTCTTAGAGCGTCAAGGTCACCTGGAGATCTCATTCCCCCCCAATCTTTTCGTACTAGTTCCTAAGTGATATACCTATAATTCCTAGATGATTCCGACACTCCAATGCATATCTAAACATCATGAAATCTTCTATAAACATGATATCATGGTCCTTGAATCCATAATCCAATTCAAGGAAAGTTAAGATCAAAATCAAAGAAGTTAAGAGTCAAGTTTACAAGTTAAGGATCAAGACAAAGTGAGTTCTTAGAGTTTTCAAGAGTCTTAAACAAACATTTTTACTTTGTTTTAAGGCTCAAGCTATAAGTTGAGCAATGAGAAATGAGTAATGAGTTGAGTCTAAGTCTCAAAAGCTATAAGAGAACTAGTATTCCCTAAGAGTTAAGTTTCAAGTAAGGCAAAGAGTGAGTTCATTTCTCAAAAGCTATAAGGGAACTAAGTAGTCCCTAAAAGTATAATGTTTTCACATTTTGATAAAGAAAGGAAGCTAGACTTCCACCTGGCCTTTGGCTAGTTTTAAAAATGGGAACTATGATTTCTAAGAGAGATTTTAAAGCTAAGTTTGAACAATTACCTTAAGCCGGAGAAGAAGTTGTTTTAAAAACATATGAGCTAAGTATTTTGGGAGTAGTATTGAGCACCGATATGGGGACACGAGATCATATCAACTCAAGTCTCCATAAACCATGTAGCCAACGTGGACAGATAAAGGATCATACTTTTTAGATGATTCCTTAATACTTTTTAGCATAGACTAGTGGACCCACTTAATAGTACAGGTTCTATACTGACGACAAGGTATAGAGCGGTCCTTTTTCCACGTGAGGTAAGACGTTGTACCATCGCTTAGGATCATAGTGATGGTTGTCGGTTAGAGAATCTCCCATATAAACTATATTACTTTCATATGTAAGTAAAGTTGAGTTTACTATTGCCTTTCCTTTAATGAACTAAGTGTTTACACTGTTTTACAAGCTTTATATATATATGGCATGCGTCTTTACTGCTTTATATTGAGTTATGACTTCTTGAGTTGAGCAGAGACAAGATAAGTTCATTCTTAATCCTTTCAAGTTTGCTAGTTGTTATTTAGCATTCCAACTCGCATAATGGTACATTCAATGTACTGATGTCAATTGACCTCTATCGTCTTATGATGCAGACGCAGGTAACCAGGATCAACATCCACTGCCTCGTTGATCCAGCTTGAGCATTCAGAGTTAATGGTGAGCCACCTTGCAATCTGGAGGATTCTTTAATTGCTTTTCTTATTTCCTTTATAGAATGTCGTGGGTTTGTCCCAACATTCGTCGTAGTATTAGTGGAGGCTTCATAGACAAATAGATAGTCAGTTTTGAGTCTCTCTTTATTTACAGATATATATTGTGTTGAGACTTAGGTGTCATTTTAGCCAAGACTATTATTTAAAGTATTTCTCATGATAATGTTTTCAACTTTATAGTTGAGTTAAGTTAAGTCTTCCGATGAATTAAGTAAGCCGGGCCAAGAGTTCGCTCAATGTCAACAATGGTCGTTGAGTGCCGATCACGTCTAGGGTATAGGCTCCGAACGTGACAATAGGTTTATTGAAATATGATAAAAGAAAAAAGTTCTTTTGATAAAAAAATTTGGTTAGAATTCTGTCAAAATGGTAAAATAACATATTTTACACTATGTTATATTTTACCTTTTTGAATAGTTTTACATTTTCAACTTTAATTCCCTTTTAATTAAAATTGTAAAAAAATCAATTTAATTTTAAAATAAAAAAGATATTATAGACTTTTTAAGTTTTTGGCTAAATTTTTCTGGCTACTTAGCATTGCCCTATGATAAACTGGTGAGTAATATATCTAAGGACAAAAATTAATAGCTATTGTTTTTACTATCCTTTTGATTATTTGTAAACAATTCTTTTAAAAATATAAAATAGTTAAAGAATCTCATTAAAAAAAGAATGACTATGAAAAAAAGTTCCATTAATTGACTTGGTGAATTTTGAAAATTTATACTTAGAATGAACTATAAAAAAAGTTTCAATAATTTAGTGAGGGATCATCTGATAAGGTGTATAAGCATAATGCTAAATAAAATATATTAATAATACTTGTATTAGTAATGCTCGTATGATTTTTTATGAATTGCTTAATTTCGTGTATTAAAAATAACAATATTGCATAATATTTTTTTTAAAAAAATAATTACTTAAAAAGATATCTGTCAGTATGATGAAAAAGAGATAATTCTTTTTTTTACGTATGCATTAAATTCCATAACATTACTAACACCATATATTGACATGTATTAGTAATACACTCCTCGTTCTTCAATACACAATAAAGTGTAAAAATTTGAAAAATATATCAAATAAAATATTACTATATACAAAATTAATATAAATTTCCATTAAAAAGATTGATAATTAAATAGTAAATAATAAATATAGTACTTATTGTTATTTTTATAATAACGATAGTGTACTTGTCACTTCCCATTAAAGAGTGTGAATTAAATAGTGTGTAGCAAATTGCAAGCTTTGGAGCAACAAAATCAGAAGGCTATCTATTGTTGTCAGTCAGGTGCAGGCCACTACTCCATGTATTCAATTTTGCTATTAGTTAGATAAAGAGATTTGTCCTTGGAAAATGAAAACTTCAAATTCTAGATTTTTCCAAGGTTCTCTTCTTTTTCCTCTTTTGCTTCATTGCAAAGTTTGTTTGGGTAACCCCACTCTATTTCTTCCTCCATTCTCTATACATTTATGGAATCTTTGCTTACCCACATTACTATATATGGATAGAGTGTGTATGGAAGTACACATTAAAATATTCAAAAACAAAATTTTCTTTGATCATTATATACCATTCCTTTTCTTGTTAATTATCATTAAATAATTTTTATATTATAGCTCCATGTAACTACCACGATAAAGTAAATTAAATAATAGTAATATATTCTATATAATTTTAGAGATAATGTATAAGTACCCCCTTAACTTATGTCCGAAATGTTAGAGACACATTTATACTATATTAAGTCTTGTTATCCCTAAATTTATTTCACGGAAAAAGCCTAAAATACCTTCGAAGTATTGAAAATGGTACACAATTACCTTCCATCCACCTATTGGCCCCCAAATACCCTTCACATCCACCTTTGGGTCCAAATTTACCCCTTCATTAACGGACCAAAATTAAAAATAATTAAATAATAATTTTTAATTACGTGACACTCAACCATTGATTGTAATTTAATTATTTAAAATAATTTTAAACCCACCCATTTTAACTAAACCCGCCCCACTTGACCCAATTTTTTTTAAAAACCATTTAATTAAAATACCTAAAACTTTATTCCTCCAATCTTCATAACTTCCATAGACTCCATTGTTGTCTTCTCTTTCTTCAAGAAGAAGAAAAATGTCAACTTCTTCTTCGATTTCTTCAGTTAAGTGTGTAGGAAATGTGATTGCTAGGCCTGGTTGCTGGTCATTTTTAAAGGGTGGATTTGTGCTTGATTTGCCTTCCTCATATGGTCTACTTTATCTCCAGGTATGTCTTATTAAGACGATAGCTTCAGGTATTGAGTTATTTTTTCTGCAATTGTTTGAGTAATTATAACAAATTTTGGAGCAGAGATCAGATGGAGAAAAGTTAAATATCTCGATTTCAAGTGTTTCGTTACAGCCATTTACTTATCAACTATGGAAGAAAAACCAACAAGACGCTATCGATAAAGTAAACTCCTGAAACTCTATGACTTTTAGCATCTTCAGTTTTATGGTAACATTGCATTTTTTCAGGTGTGGACCGTCTGTTTTCAATCAATCACATTTCCTACACACTTAACTGAAGAAATCGAAGAAGAAGTTGACATTTTCTTCACGAAGAAGAAGAAGACAACAATGGAGTATGGAAGTTATAAAGAATGGAGGAATAAATTTTTAGGTATTTTAATTAAATGGTTTTTTAAAAAAAATTGGGTCAAGTGGGGCGGATTTAGTTAAAATGGGTGGGTAATGGGTGGATTTAAAATTATTTTAAATAATTAAATTACAACCAATGGTTGAGTGTCACGTAATTAAAAATTATTATTTAATTATTTTTAATTTTTGTCCGTTAATAAAGGGGTAAATTTGGACCCAAAGGTGGATGTGAAGGGTATTTGGGGGCCAATAGGTGGATGGGGGTAATTGTGTACCATTTTCAATACTTCGAGGGTATTTAGGCCCTTTTCCGTTTATTTTATTAATATTTTTCTACCCTTTTTCGACCTACGTGGCACTATCTTGTGGGCCCAACGCTGGTTGACTTTTTTTTCAAGCTAGTTCTACGTAGGCCGAAAAGGGATAGAAAATTACTTATCAAATAAGTTCAGCGAGGTATAGTATAAGTGTGTCTCTGAAATTTCGGACATAGGTTGAGGGGTACTTTTGCATTATCCCTATAATTTTATAATCGATGTTTGGAGAGGATAAAACATACACATATCTTATTTTTATCTTTGAAGTAGAGAGTTTATTTATGATATAAAATTTAGGAGAAATTTATATATATAAAAAGAACTTTAACTCAATTGGGTTGATGAAAAAATCAAAGTTATTTATAAAAAAAAATATGACTCTGTATTTGGATTTTTGATAATGATGGGTGGTGATATTTGTTGGTGAATGACAAAAGAAGAACAAGAATCGAAGGTGATATTGTGATGGTGAAGAATAAAGAATCGATAGTGAAGGTGGTCAGACATGATTTCGATGAGTTGAGAAATGAAGTAGGTGAGACTTGGTGATGAAGAAAATATAATTACTCCATGAGCGACTCCGCACATGAAAATTAGTGGTGTGTTGACCATGGCACGAGTGGATTGTTCATTGATCGTGATATGTATATATTGTGTGGCTTCTTTGATTGCTTTGTGATAGCTTCGCATAGTCAAATCATGTCCTACTACAATCATGTCCTACTACGTTATGCGTAAATCTTGCCTTAGTTCTTGTGTATCTTTCTCCTTTCATGACTAAGTTTCTCCAATTCAAGACATTTACATAGTCATGCGGCCCACCGCATATGAAGCGATCATTTTCCTTTGTTGTGAGTCTTCTGTTCAACATCACTTTGCTTTCTAAACTTCTTGCTATCGAACTTATAGGTACTATTGTTCTTTGAATGTGGCTAATGCTCCTTGCTTTTGCCATGACATCCCCAACCTTAGTAATGACTATCTTAGCCTTAGTCATGACTACCTCTCATCTTCTCTCATCTGCCTATATCATGCCTAATGTCTATCAAAGCTTCAACCTGTTGATGACTTTATCAATAGTCTTAACCAGTTAGCTTTTCAACTTCCTCTTATCCAACGCATCCAGAAGTGGAACAACACATCTTCATACTTGAATTTGAGAATCTGAAGCATAAGGGTAGTCCATTCCTTCACCTATGCTCGTATGTTGTCGGTCCACTTCAACTTCTTTAATTTGCCTTCACTTCATAGATGAAATTGTTGGTAATGAAGACTTTCCTAAACTTGATTCGAAATTTCTCCAATGTGTTGATAGTGTAATGCCCCTTTTCGATTTTCTGATTTCCTTCACTTCTACCATAACATCACCATGTCTGAAGGTACACTACGACAATGTTGATTTTGTTCTCATGGCTTCTTACTTTGTTACACTTGAATTAATTATTCATGTTAAATGAATCTTCTACCTCTTGCGCGTCATAAGTGCTTTTGAACATTGACTGTTTTTTACTCTATATTTCGGTTGGATGTCGCAAACCTTCCAACTTCAGTTTCTCTCTTGATCACTACATCTTAGCTTTCATGGTTTCAATTGTGCGTAATGAATCCATAAGGCGATATTCCAAAGGCAGCGATGGTCTTTTTCATCTCCAATTCTACATACTTGCACCCCTATAACTCTTTTGGAATTTTTTCATTTTTCTCAAGGGTGAATCCTCAAGAATCTTGAACTCGTCATCAATCTCGTTCAAGCGTCTGCCTAGAATCTTCACAAATTGCATTCCCATGTGAACCTTTGCAAAACACTCCGTTTCAAGCATTACGTTTATGGGCTGCTCCCCATGTTCATCATCACTTGCCTCAATTGCAGAAGGTGATGGGAACGTTAGCACTTCGCATGGTGTGGGATCCTAAAATAATTCCTCATTCTTCATCCCTTTTTGGTTCTTCATTTCACCATCCTTCCTAACATTGGTGGTGCTAACAACATTAATGTCTCTCTTCTTTGCCATTACCCTAGTATCAACCTTTGCCTGATACTACTTTATCATTGACTTAGACTTCTATTGATAATTTGGTCACGAATCATTCACAATGCTCAAGTAAGCCTTTTAATATTAGAACAACGAAAGACGCAATATAATTTCTTAAAAAGATTTTCTGTGTTGCTCAAAGACTTGAAATATGTGCTAGAATCTTGTTTGATTGTATTACAAATGAGTGTCCCTCTATTTATACTATACGTCTATGACACGATAAATATATATAATTGCTATACAAATCCCTATATATTTAAAATAAGCCCTCATTCTAAAATTTTCAACATAACTTGAAAATTACAAGAACCTTCCATACAAATTCATGAAATTCTCCATATATTTTTAACTATACCACTTAAGGACTATTCTTTTTACAATGCAAGCCTTCCATGTCACTAATTTGTGTCACGTGACACCGAAGTGATATGATGATGTGACGTGTCATGACATTAGGTTTAGATTAATTAATGGGTCGAATTCACTATTCCATATTCACATGAATGCCTCTATTTTGGAGTGATTTTTAATTTTTTTTAGTTCAACACTTTATGTAATTAAGAAAATGACTTAAATACCTGAGATGCAAATTATACTTTAAAAGAAATAAATTCAGTTTCAAAGCATTATGCCTTAAAAGAAGTTTATAATCCACAAGTAATGGCTACAGGACAAAGAAAATTTGCAATGCAAAACTAACAAGACACATGCTAATTATGTCTTATAAGGCATAAGTTTAATTTCAAAATCCACGAAATTAAAGAGTCCTCTTAATTTTTGTTTCGTAAAATTAGGTCATAATTAAAACATTGACTCTCAATTTTCTTATTAAATGTGAAACATAATAAAAAAAAATTTAAAAATCATAAATTTAAAATACAAAATTGAAGATCACCCCCAAAATAAAAATATACCTTTGCAAAAACTTGTAGTTAGAATTGTTGTGAGTTATGAATGTATTAGGCCAAAAGATATTATTCTAATTGCAAAAAAAAAAAAAAAAAAAAAAAAATTGCAAAATTGAGGGAATAGTTGGCTTAGCTTTGTTCATTGCTTAGAGTTTAAGTAAATAATATTTATAGATTTAAAGATAATGCATCTCACTTTTTAATTTAAAAAAAATGCATTTCACTTGTCATTTTCAAATGCATATGCAAGCAAAGCTTTATTCAAATAAAATATTCGAATAAATTAATAAGATTCTTTTGTATAGGAAACAGAGTTATCTACAATGTCATTTTGTTATGTGTAATGGGACCATTGATTGCCTGTGTAAAATTGACTTGTGGCCTTTTTTAGGTTAGAGACAAGCTCAATGACCACCAATTCTCCAAGGGGCAATTTGTTTTTGTTTTTTCAAATATCTCACATACTAACTTAATTAAGTACTAATTTTAAAATATAAAAATAATTTTAAGCTTTATAGAACAAACTGATGCTAAATTCCAAATTTAACCATCAATCATGTTTGTGGCGGAATGATAAATACTTTTTCTGATACTTTATAACTATTCATTTAATTTTTAAATTCAAAATTTTCAACGAAAAATAAAAACATAATTACAACTCCATTTAACTATTACCGATAAAAAAGAAACAATTGTTGCAATTAATATTTTATTAAAATAAATAAGCATAAGAAAAGACGTTTTATCAATGAGATAAAGAAAGCGCAAAATTAAGTATTTTTGAGCTAGTTGCACTCTAAACAACATTTAAATTCTAGAAAATTTATGGTACACATTTAAAAATAATAATACTAAAAAAATTCACCAGCTTGATTAACTATTTGTTGTTATAGTTTTCTTCCTTAGCTTTTTTTCTTTTTCTTAAATAAGTGAATAAATCGGAGAATAATAAGAGAGAAAAAGAATTGGTGGGATTGGAAATGGAAACTTGTGAATAAAGTCTTAAACTTAAAATTGCATCTTTAAAATACATTTTCTTTTGTCAATTTTTTTTTAAAAGTTAAATAATTTTCATGCTTCTATTAGTTATTGTCAAATAATTGATGAATTCTACAAAAAATATGTGGAGTTCATATGACTAACAACAAAAGTTTTTTTTTTATAATTTCATTACCTCCTATAAAAAGTTTTTGACAAAAAAAAATAATTAAAAATCTTGAAAATCAATATATGATTGAACCAAAAAATGGTAAGAATGTGTGAGGATATATTATCTGTTATTTTCTCACTTGCACACGAAAAGAAGTTGGAAATTGATTAACTTCACATTTTCAAAATCAAATTATAGTAAGATCAATAACTTTTTGCAACAATGTGATATTAAGGTGATCATAATTCTGATTATGTCTCGTATTCAAGTTTCATTTTCCATTTTCTGAAATCTCTAGCGAACACTGCTTTTAGCATATTTAATTGAGAAAAAAATATTTCAATTGATAAATGTCAAATAAACGAAATTTTTTTGTGAAATTAATTTTTTTTCATAATACTAAACTCTATCACCGAAAAAATTCATGACAATTTTTTTGACGCATCTTGAATAATGAAAACGAATGGGTGATTAGATTTTTGTAGGATCTGTTAGTTTTCTGAAAAATTCTAATAGAAGAATGAAAAATATCAACGTTTAAATACTTGAAAGAAGTTTTAGATAATTTAAGAATGTATTATAAGTTTGAAGTATAATTTAAAGATAATTTTAGAGATAAGTGTCAAAAACATATCTAAATTATTCACTTTTTTTGAGTTTCATATATAAACTATTGAGAATGTGAGTTTCATACCTAAACTATCACTTTTTAATTTAAGAAACACACCTCAATTGTGTGTGTAATATGACTCTCTCTTTATTTGATAAAACATTGATACATGACATTCCACATAGATAAAATATTTTACCTAGATATAAATTAAATAATAAAATATTAATATTAATTAAAAATTAAAAATTAAAGTTTTACTATCCATATAAAAAATTAAATTATTTTTCTTACCCACTCCACTACCTTCTCCACGTACCCCCCACCCCGCTACAATGCCCATCCTTTTTTTTTTTTTAAAAAAAGTCATTTATAAAATATTTTTAAAATTTCATACATCATCCTCCCCTCCCCCTCCAAAAGAAAACCACCCATTCATCCCCCACTATAGAAATTGATATTATTTTATTAAAAAAATAAAAATCTATCTCATCTTATTTAATTCTCCGCTCTTAATTTATTTTTTTTACGTTTTTCTTATTTAATGTTAGATATGCACGTACATATATTTTTAGAAAAAAAATTTCACTAGTGGACCGAATATAATATAAATAATTTAAATTTTTTTAAAAATCTTGTGGCGGCTAGTAAAAATATTTTCGATATATATATTTAGACACTGAAAAAAATTTGAAAGCAAAGGGTTAAGTGAAATGAGTAGAATTATCTTTTTACGAAAATAAAATAATATATAAATTAGTATTTGAGGAGGTGGAGGAGATGAAGTAAAAAAACGAAATACTTTTATAAATGAAACTTAAAAAAATGGTGGTGGTGGGGGTTTGGGATTTGGGGTGGGGGGGGGGGAGGAAGTGATGACATTGGGTAAGAAAAATATTTTACATCTTTTTTATAATAGTTTTTTAATTTCTAATTTTAAATAATACTAATAATTTATTTATTTTTTGTGTCAAGATTAAATGTTTTGTCTATGTGGAGTGAGATGTGGAAATTATTTAAAATAAAAGAGAGAGTGTATTACACATACCATGATGAGAGTTGTATAAAAGAGAGAGGTTATTTCTCAAACTAAAAAATAATAGTTTACGTATGAAATTCAAACTTTCAATAATTTAGGTATGAAATTAAAAAAAATGGCATAATTTAGATGTGTTTTTGACACTTATCTCATGATTAAACCAAAAACTCAAGATAAAAAGTGAAAATTCTTTCAACTTAATTATGTTAAAGTGATAAAAGAATATTCATGAAACATTCTTGATTTAGTGTAAAATCATGCATATAAAGTATTTGCTACATATAAATACACTTGTTTAAAATAAATTGTATGAAAAGGAATTGCGTAATTACCGTATGATTTGGTCTTTTCTTCAACTTTGCTGCTCATAGATCATCAATTCAATTCAACTGTTGAAGTCTAATTGATTCAAATTTTATTATTTATTGATTTATAGACATTTTAAATAGTTATAAAATTAATAACATATTAATTATTAATTATTAAATTGTTAGATATACTAAATCATTATAAAACTATTAAGATATTGATTGACAAGATAAAATTGCTCGAGTAGTAAATACTCTTCGCTTTCTACACAAAAAATTGTGAATTTCAGAAAGCAATGAAATGTACTAATGATGTTTTTTTCTTTTTTCGATTCCATTTTGGTAAAAAAAAAACAATTTGGATTTTCCATCCGATGTTCTGACCTCACTTGGAGCCTCGATAAAATTAGGATCGCACTACAAGATTCATTTGGGGTTGGCCTATAGTGAAGCCTCTACTAGATTTATATGCCACAATATAGAGTTTATTTCGAAGTGACGCTCCCTAAAAGATTTTCACTATATCTAAAATTTATATTCGAGACGTGTTGGTCGGTCAAAATCTTATTCACAAACTTGACGTGTGTAGTTGGGAAAAGACACAAGTTGAGGGTTGAAATAAAAATGAAGAAAGACATAAACGCCTGGAATTGTGTGCTCTGCAAAAACAAATGAAGGTTGGCAATGGCAGATTTATTTTATCTAACAACAAACATAAATGATCAATCATCAACTCTCTCTGTCAACATAAATTAACCATTCCTCAATTCGAGATTTTTTAATCCAGTATTTAATCGCAAAAATACCCATTTTCATCACACAAACATGTCAAGTAACGAAGAATCCATGGAAGATATCAATGGCCATTCATTCGGCAAGGTCAAACAGCGTTTCAAAGATCGATCTCAGGTACATATTTATTTCAATTTCTGTTTTTCTTCTTCTTTTCAATGATGCACTCTACGCGTTTGAACAATTTCTTCAATGATATCATCATCTTCTTCTTTATTTGTGTAGAAAACCAAAGAGAAGACGAAACAGATCTTGACAAAACAAGCTGCACAGATCGCTAAACGGGCTGAGGAGCACGAACGATTCATCAACAAGGCATGCATATTACTTCTTTCTGAGTTGATACAATAAATCAAATCTTTCTGTTTGAAGTTGTATCAATTGGACTTGTGATGTTTGTAGGTGACTCATCTGATGGGTGTTCTTGGGTTTGGGGCATTTTGCTTTATTTTGGGTGCAAGTAAGTGGAACTTCTTATACTCTAATTAAACCTATATGGAATTGATTCTTCCTAAATTTTAATTTCTTTTTTGACTCAGGGCCTAAGGATATTCGATATGTTTACTGTTTGTTCTATGTCATATTTGTTCCTCTGAGATGGATCTACTATAGATACAAGAAATGGCATTACTATCTTTTGGTAAGCTCAACTTTTTCGCCCCTACAGTTTTTGTTTTTCAACTTGTAGTTTATGTGAAGCAAAACAATGTAGTTAGTTGAACCTCTATGCAAAGGATATCATCTAGTTATATTTGTATTCCAAAATTTTGAGTTGTTGGCTGTCGTAAGTTCACACTCCATGAATCTATTTGTTTGTTCATTTATTTTAGTTTTACTAAACAATGCAAAATTAACATCTTAAATGAAAGAGTACGATGATTCGTAGTAGAAAGCGGATAAGAATGAGCACTGATGTACCATCATATTTATTTGGTGCTTTCGGCATTTTGACTTTGTCTAAATAACATCCATGAAACGTTTATGTTATTAATCCCAAATTTCAGGTCCTACTAGGATTTCAATCTTTAAAGCATGGGGATATAGTTTATGTTCCTTCCATGTCTAGCTATTCCTGATAGGTGGGGAAATCGTTCAAATTTGGGCTTCTTGTTTTGCAGGACTTCTGCTATTATGCAAATACAATTTTCATAGTTACACTTCTGTTTTTTC